TGACACTCACAAGTGCCCTAATTTAAGAAAAAAAAAAATTAAATTCTTACATATATATAAATAAAAAAGAAATTTAACCATATTTTTGTGAGTATTGCTATATGTGCTATTTCATGAAACTCACATATATATAAAAAAAGAAAAAAAGTTAACGGAAAGAAAAATATAATTCGTTGGGAAGGTAATACTTAATTTGAATCCGACCTTAAGAAAATGTCAGAGCTAGGATATAATTGATTTAAAATTTTAAGTATTTTCTTCGAAAATCCCCTAAAACTTTCAAATTTATTATTTTATTTAGTCTGAACTTGTAGTCTACTTTATATTACAGATAACACATACTGCTATGTATCCATTATTTATATTATTATATTAACCACACCTTATTCGTCATATTGCATAGGCTTTCCAACACTTAACCTTCATAATTTATAATTCTAATTATCTTCCTTATCCTCTTATCTCATCAAATACAAGGGCCTCTACAGTGGCACACAACTAAAGCCACGAAAATACCCTTTTTATGTTTACTGTTGAAAAAGTTTGTAATAAGCAAAACATCTACGCAGGAACTCCCGCAAGCTCAAAAAATCGTATTCCGAGAGTTTAACGTGGTCAGCATCCAATTACTGTAATGGTTTTGTATGTAGTCTTCTTTAAAAGCGACAAAATCGGAAAAGTCTTTTTGCATTTGGTTGAGAGAATAATTAGAAGCCAAGTTCTATAAATTTTTTATCGCCTTTATTGATTTGTGACATGCTAGGTTCATTAACGATGAGCCCGCGTGGCGTTGAGAAATAGGTTTTTATACCAAAAATATATATGTTACAATTTGTATGTTTTTCAATTCTTTAAATATTATATGATACCAGGTTCATTATTGATTATTCATACCTTACAAATTATTCGGTGGATGCAAAAGGCTATTTATAACATATTAACATCAGTGTTGATAATGGTGCATAAAAGAATATATGAATTAACATAAAATCATAATTAAAAATTATTTTAAAACTTTTAATTGAGAGTACGAGATAGCAAAAACATTTTATTAGTACCGCAATGAAAAATTAACACAAAAATTTTATTCCAAAAATAGGATACAAATTTATTTTTAATTTTTTATTTAAAAAACCGGGTTAAATAATTAGAAAAATTCAGTTGCAAGCTTATAATTGAAAAAATAAAAAAATAGAAATTATTTTAGAATTAATAATGTGTATCTTCTGAATATTAGCTTATAATTATAGTGTTTCTGTTAGTAATACTGCGTAAATCTTTCAATTTTTATTCAATACCATTCCAGCTTTTAATTTCAAAATAAGTTTTTTTTTTTATTTGTTAGTTTAATCCATAGTGATTGGAATTAATTATTAAGATTTTATTCTTAATCCAATAATAGGAACTAAAAATTGGAATCGTATATGGAATCCAAAACTTTCCAATTAGAAAATTCGAAACTCCGATCAACATATAGTACATACATATATGTATTCTGCCAACAATAAAAAATGTCTAGTTCCAGTCTAGATGAAGCCGTTTATTTTCGGTTTACTCCAATTTTTTATTGCACAATATTGAAGTATATTTCATCATTCAAGACTTTTGTTACTAAACGACGTAAGTAGAACCTGGGCCTAAGGCTCTCAATTTATAACGGTGTCATTTTGATAACTGTTTCTACAACTTTAAAATTTACATAACATACCTATTTGACAGTTTAATTTATTAACACGGATTTCAATGACGTAAAGAAGAAATTATAAATGCAAAGTAAAGTTCAGCTAAAGCACAAGTAGATATTTGCGTGTGCATACACGAATATACATAAGTGCATATGTATATGAAATGTATAAGCATGCATAAAGCTTAACAAATTGAGCAGCTAATAAGCCAGAAAAGGTAGCAGTACTTCTGAGACCAAATTTTTTCTAAAGAAAGCCATGAGTTTGTAGTTTTCGGACCGCGAATTAGCAGTTAACCCTTCTCGAATATATAAATTTGAATATGTGTATAATACACATGCACTATAGTATATAGGTAAGACTCGTTTATCACTTTGCCATCTTAGCAACAAAAGTTTGCAATAATGACGAAAGTGAATTTGCTGAGCCATTGTTTCGGGTTTGCTTGTTTAGCAGGATAAAAAATAATGTCATGGAGGAATATTTCTAGATAATATAAGTTTGTATGTTTGCATGCACAAAAGAATCAAACCGGTCATCATAAAATAAGACTTGAGAATTTTAAGCTGAATTGAGAGTTGTATGTCTATAAATATATAATATACATAATATATAGTATATTTCAAAATTAAATTAAAATAGCAGCAACCGAAGAGCTCTGTACACATAGATATGTATATACATAATACATATATGTGCGAGTGTCCATTAATGCCAAACAGGTCAATGAAAGTGTTTCTATTCCTATAACTCATGAATTATGCAAAAGAGCCGGCGAATATTATTATAGAAGAATTCGTATATTAGCTAATCCAATGCCAAAAACTTGATAGCAATTAAGTTGGTAAAAAAATTTGAAATATACACATCTACAAAACACACTTAACAATAGGATCCCACATGTGTAGATATATATACATATGGGCGTTTATTTGATGAGCCAAAGTGGCTGACTGGAACTTGTCTTCTAATTAGCAACATGCTCGCACAAGTTTGAACAAGAAGGTGCTACAAAAAATAAAAATATTAAAAATATACTGAATTTTTGTCAGATCTGTATGTCTGTTGCATAGCAATGCGTAGAGTTAACGAAATTTAATTACCTAACATAAATATGCATCAGCTAACCTCTCCATCAGGTTTGGAACTAGCTGCTAGAGTATATGAAAGAAATTAAATTCTAACGCTAAAGTGCTTATCTAACACCAACTAGAATTGTTATGGCACTGTATGCATTTAGCTGAAAGTCGAGATGCTAAAAACAACAAATTATACTTCAAATTTACTTTGTTTATTTTAATTTTGGCAATAAAATGCATGCATGTGTGTATGCATTTCAATTTTTGGCAATTCCATTTTATCAAACTTAGAATATTCACAAATTTTAGTTAAACAGGAAACTAATCACCCATACAAGTGCTTACTTCCACAAATATAGAGAGAAAATAGTACACTACATTGCTGAAATTTCGCGCGGGCGTGCGTATAAAGTGGCATGGAACATTTGCAATGACATCCACTAAGTTTTCTAACCACAACGGAAGAACAACACACAAAATCAAAACAATCATGAAAGCCGTATTCATCTTCGCCTGTCTGTTGGCTGTTGCCTTCGCTCGCCCCAACCATGAAGCCGAGATTGTGCGTCTAGACTCCGACGTTGGTCCTGAGTCCTACATATACAACCTTGAGACCAGCGATGGTACAAAGAAGGAAGAAGCTGGAAAATTGAAGAATGTTGGCAGTGAAAACGAGGCTATCGCCGTTAGCGGCAGCTTCTCCTGGGTTGATGAGAAGACTGGTGAGAAATTCACCGTCACCTATGTTGCTGATGAGAACGGTTTCCAACCACAAGGTGCTCATTTGCCAGTTGCCCCAGAAGCTTAAGTGAATCGATTTACTTACATTCAATATCGAATTGTGTAATAAATAAAAAAAACGGTTGGCTACCGTTAACAAAAAGCTAAAAGAAAGTGTTGTTTAGTCTATTAGGTTATGTTGAATTCTGTTTAAAAAAAAAAGTTTAAATGTTCTATAAGTCTGCAAAGGCAAATATAATAATAGTATAGATAAAACAAATCCCAAAAAGGCTTAAGAAGCTCATCTAAATCGGCAAGTCGAAAATAGTGGAACAAAAAGCAATAGAGTTTAAATATCATTTTGAATATTGAACTAGTAGCATACATAAATAAGTAGGTAATTAAGTTAAACCAAGAAAATATAAACAATGTAATAAGAAAATTCCACAGAAAACGGCAGCAGACTCACCTGAGAAAATTTTATTGTCAATTCTTTTCGAGGATATGGAGAATGGCGGATGTCTGACGACGTACCTAAGCCTTCAGTGGATATAGAGAATATACTTTAGGTTATAAAAAGCATTAAATGTAACAGATTTTAGCACAAAAATATAAGGCCAATGATAAAGGATAGAACATATTGTTTTTAACTACTTCATCGTAAAAATATTAGTTCAGAAATGTTTTTAATAAATTATAGAGAAGTAATCGAATTTTATTTTCAAAAAATTTCACTTTCACAAAAAAAGAAGAAGAGTAATGTAACTTCTTTTCTGTTTCATTTGCAACCAACACCCAACGATATCGAAAAATATACTTTTTTTGTTATTTTTATATTAAAGTACTGAAAACTAAAGTCAATGAGAGAAAAACATGCAAATACTAAACATGCAACAAAGCAAGAAAGTAAAATTTTTTATAATAAAAAAAAAATATGCTAAAACCTTTAGCAAGCCTTAAGAAGCCAAACAAATGGCGTAGGCATAAACATAAAGAACTGATATACACACACATGCGCCATTATTCGCATATGATATATGTAGCAAACATACAATAGAGAGAGTTGAAATTAATATGATTTTTAAGCAAACTTTTTACTGAATATGTGCGTAAATATGTTTATTTTAGCAGATGTACTATATTCCCTTGTTTTATTTCGCATAATCATAAGCAAATACAGCCGATTACAAAGAGCATCACCAAAATTTATATCGTGTTATTTATTTATTTATTTATTAAATGAAAAATAATAATACAATTATTATCTTACGGAGTAAGAAGCACTAGCTGGCAGGGCTTACGGCCTATGCTACTAGCATATGCATACACACATATATACACATAATGATACACAATTTAGTTACGCCGGTTCGTCTAGTTAATTAACATATAAACAACTAATCAAGTTTAAGAATTAATAAAATTCATTTGATAGTTATATTTTATGAATTCAGCAAACATAATATGTCGCCGCATTGCGTATAAAAGCAAAGAATCAGCCTACAGTTTACAACACTCAGTAGTCTGATTCCGGCATTTGCACAACCAGCAATACCCAAAACAAATATCAACATGAAATTCGTTATTGTTTTCGTCGCCCTCTTCGCTTTGGCTTACGCTGCCCCAGCTGCTCCTGAAGCCGAAATCGTCGAATTGAGATCCGATGTTGAGCCCGAGAAATACAGCTACGCGTAAGTTAATAATTAATATTGTGATAAAAATACTTATCTGCGAGACATCGCATAGAGAATCAAATGGATTGAACCAATCCTTCGGAAAGATTAAGAAAATAACCCATTTTCGTCTGTGTTTTATAGCTTGAAGACCAGCGATGGTACATCAAAGGACGAAGAAGGTCACTTGGTCAATGTTGGTGCTGAAGATGAACACATTGTTGCCCATGGTTCTTACTCTTTCGTCGCTGATGATGGTCAAACCTACACCGTCACCTATGTTGCTGATGAGAACGGTTTCCAACCTTCAGGTGCTCATTTGCCCGTTGCCCCTGAGGCATAAGTTTCATTCTCATTAGTTGAGTTTGATTGGTGAAAGTGTTATTAGATTATTAGTAAAATGATGTTGAATAAATGATTAACGAAAAAAAATAACTTTTTTTATTAGTGGATGGAAGGTCATTATATTTAGTACTTTAAATATCTACAAGTATTTTTCCTAATACCACTTACTATTAAAATGCCGCAAACCTAAAAAACCAATCATATATGTGGTCAATTGGTTGTTGGAATATCCTGATATTGGTTATATGGGAGTTAGGTCAAGTTTTTGTTCAAATTTATCTCTTTTAGGTAGGAAGATAGACTGTTATGAAAAAACTTTTACATAATTCACACATTTAACTTAAACTATAAAGTATAGTAACTCTCATTTCACAAATTAGATTAAAAAAAATTATATTCGAGGCAGAATCTGTCCATTGTTCAAAATTTGTGAGAAGTTGGATTGGCCACGAAATTCCGAAAGATTTAATACCTTCCAAAGTACGACATTTCTATGTATGAACTTTTCGGCCGTATGTTAGCAATAACGAGCCGGAAATTCTCTTCCAAGGCACACAAAACAGTTCAACGATGTTAAATCGTACGATCTTGGAAGCCACGCCAAAGGCCTATGACGTGAAATGATGTGCTCACAAAACTTGTCTTCAATAAATTGACTGTTTGGTTGGAAGTGTGGCATGTAGCACCGTCTTGTTGAATTCAAACGTCGTTCACATCAACACCCTACAATTCTGCAGGTGACAGTGACTTTTTGAAGATGTAACGGAGTCTCATCGCTGAACCAAATTTTCTTGTGTAAATCGAAATGGTCACCGATCTCGTTTTGGGCCTATTCGGCTTCAATTCTTTTATTATTTTTCCGCAAACTACGTTTTTTCCGCAAAATCTTCCATAAAGTGCATGACAACAGCTCCAATAATTGGGCGCTATTGTGAACGGACTTATTAGAGTATCTTCGATACTCTGCTCCAGAGCAGCAATAGTGTCTTCTTTGCGCATTTTATGGGATCTCTGAAAATACGCATTATCACTGAAGTAAACCGATTCGTAGCTACCCGAATAACCGACTCTGCTGGATGTTTATGTCATCCTGATATTTGAAGCATTGCGCAATGAGTTACGCGAATCAAATTATTACTTTTATAATTTATGTTTTAGTCCGAAGTAAGTCTGTTCCAATGACGACCAAAGGAAGTATAAATCAAATAACAGTAATCAAAAGGATAGTGTCGTTGTTCAAAACTATTAAAAGTGTGATAGCTCTTAAACGAAAAACACTGGAGGAAGAAATCAATATTCCAACCGATTCTTTTACTATACTCTCTCCAAAAGTCTTGTAAATCTTTTCAAAAAATGCTTATGTATATCTGTCAATTTAAGAGATTTTTTGCTGAAATGAAAACAAAACCGATTCGGTACTTCTCATAGCCTAATATAACATACACAATTATCTTACCGAAAGCTGTTACTACCGTACTTAATCTTAATCCTAATCTACTGATTAGAAACAATATTATTTCTGTGAAACTTCTTCTGATATCTTGGAAATATAAAACATAAATAATGGTCATAATATGAAATGAGAAATTTTTAAATAATAAAATGCTTTTGCATTCTCAAATATTAAAAAACAAAAATAATCTCCAACGATATAACTAATTATATTTATTCAGTACTTCAGTTAAACCAAAATCAACGACGGAGACTCTAAAATTTGCACACAGCCTTTTCCTATACAAATCTTTTTATACTCTTTTATACTATATAAATTGCACTTGTGAAGGGTATTATAGCTGTACATTGTTCAACTATTTGAACATGTTTCTTAACTAACCATTACCGGCATACGCCTCGTCATTCAACGCCTTCAAAACATTACAAATTGCATAGCCTTGTAGAGCCATGAAGGCGTGAATTAAGATTTCATACAGTAAAAAGCATTTAGCACTGCAACCTGCACATAGTAACACAAAATCCGATTTGGAAGAGTTTTTAATTATTATTTTTTTTTTTCGTTATTGGATATTGTTATAAAAGAAAAGATGAAAAATAGACTTCGTTTAAAACTCAAATCAAAAAGAACAACAAATAAAACGTTATCTGTAAAGAGTAAAAACTCCGCGCACTGAAGAAGATCTAACTAACTTAAACTTGTTTACAATACAAAAGCTGCAACGCTGGGGCAACCAATCCAACAGACCATAAAGCGTCAATAGTAAACATGCCGAGAGTCAATGAAAACCTGCGTAAGCATAAAAGAGATATGGTAAGAAAAAATTAAATACGCTATTAATTTATACTCAACAAAACCTAGGAAATAGATGCGTTAAAGCCGATTGAGAAGATAAACTTCAAATTATTATTTAGTAATTGTATAAATAGCATGCCAGCGAATACGAATATGTCATTCAATCATCATCAGTTGATAAAGCACAGCATAGCTGACAAAAAACCATACTATACAAAATAAATCAAAATGAAATTCGTCATTGTGTTCGTTGCCCTCTTCGCCGTGGCTTTGGCTGCTCCGCCCGCACAGCAAGTTGAGATTGTGCGTCAGGACTCTGATGTCCAACCTGACGGTTACCGCTTCGGTTACGAGACCAGTGATGGTTCCAAGCACGAAGAACAAGGTCAGCTGAACAACATCGGCACAGAGCAGGAATCGATTTCCGTACGCGGTTCATACAGTTTTGTTGCCGACGATGGCCAAATCTACACAGTCAACTACATTGCCGATGAAAATGGTTTCCAACCACAAGGTGCTCATTTGCCTGTTGCTTAAAAAGTCAACTAGGAGTGAACGCTTCGAAGGAGTTTTCTTTTTATATTATTTGTGAGAGTGATTATTGAGAGATAAAATTAAATAAAATAGGCTTTATTATATCTTTTATACAAAAAAAAATGTTTTTTAAATTTTCTGGATATAAATTTTTTAACATATATAATAATATAGCATCATTAAAAGCATTTGACACAGAATTATTGGAATACTGAGTTATCATATAGACTCTAAACTCATCTGTGTTATCGCGCTTTCTGTATTGTATAAGGTGCATTAAGTGCTAAACGATGACATTATTAAATATCAATTTAAAATCAGTATATTTACTATAGCTTCCACGCTGCCATTAATCTTTGTTACTTTTAAGGTTTAGATTATTTAAGAAAGGTCTAAACAAAGATTACAATGAAACTAATTTATAAATCATTAATTTTATTTTCTAACCTGAAGAAACTCTCAGTTTATTGGGTCCATAAATGTTTCAACCATCATGTTATAAAATAAAAATAATAAAAAACACTTATGAAAGTGGAAGTCCAATCAATCCAATAACACAAAGTAATAATATTTATCCTGTTGAGTTTTCGGGTTTTTGAAAAAGTCGTCTGAGTTTCACCACCAAAAATCATTCAGCGAACTGGGGACTGGGCCCAGAATGATATATCCATGTTTTAATAATTTTCATTAATCAACGCAGAACCTCGTTTTTATTGCGTTTTAAACAACTTTTTCTCCACTTTTCGGCATCTATCCGCTTACATTATCTCGATCTTTCACCAAGCAATTTCATTACAGCCATACACTAACATCGCAAAATGTTCCAAAAACAATTTTCCTCTGAAATTCGCATGTTTTCAATCCACATGTGTAGAATTAAATATATTTCGGGTTTTTCTGAGCTTTGGCTGCATCAAGCTGTTATTAAATTATGTATAAAGTTAGTACAAAAAAACCAATATGTTTAATTGTTCATCAATCAAAACGGTTTTTTTATTTTTATTTATATTAAAACAAACAACAGATCTCATTCAATTAAGATGTAATAGCTTATGCCTCAGGGGCAACGGGCAAATGAGCACCTTGTGGTTGGAAACCGTTTTCGTCAGCAACATAGGTGACGGTGTAGGTTTGACCATCATCAGCGACGAAAGAGTAAGAACCATGGGCAACAATGTGTTCATCTTCAGCACCAACATTGACCAAGTGACCTTCTTCGTCCTTCGATGTACCATCGCTGGTCTTCAAGCTATAAAACGCAAGCGAAAATATATTATTTTCTTAAACCTTCCACGTAACTAGTTCAATCCATTTTATTATATATGCGATGTCTCGCAGATAAGGACTTTTGTCGCAGTATTAATAACTTACGCGAAGCTGTATTTCTCAGGCTCAACATCGGATCTCAATTCAACAATTTCGGCTTCAGGAGCAGCTGGGGCAGCATAGGCCAAAGCGAAGAGGGCGACGAAAACAATAACGAATTTCATGGTGATTTTATGTTTTTGAATTTTGCGCTGGTTATGCAGATTGCGAGATCAGGCGACTAACTGTAGATCTTCAAAATTTCCAAGATGTTTTTATACAAAAGTTTTATCAAAGCAAATTAATAACCGCAAAGGGCATGCGCGCATACATTTATTTAGTAATTTTTTAACACGCGTGTAATCACTTTGATGGTCTGGTGGGACACAAAAAAAAATTGTGTGAAACAAGTTTAGCTGGAATTTAAGGAAAATTAGCATCAGCAACTTTATGCAAATATGTTTTGTCTAAAATTAGCAAAAGCCTACCAATGTTAATGACGTTTGTATGCAAATGGGAAGGAAAAATGTGAAAAAGCAATATGAAACTATCAGTAAGAGAATTAATGGTAGAATGAATTCATATAATATTTATATCGGAAATAAATTATAAATTTGAAATATGATATAAAATTTAAAATGATTTGACGTCATTTCTGGTGCGTGTGTTTGGCAACCCACGCATGGATACAGCTGATAACTCGGAGCGCTCCTGAATTAATTTAACTATATTTCAAAAGGGTATTGAGCTACTGGAGAAAAGGTAAATTTTATTAAGAGAGGTAAGGTTAGGTTAAAGATTTGAAGTTGTTACAAATTTCACGTGGGCAACTTAGAACCGGTTGCTTGTATTACTAAAAACTTCTCTTTATAGATTGATCTGACTGAAAATTCTAGTAAGGAATATTATAATAATTAAAATTGTAGAGTTTTAGAGGGGCATAATCGGACCAATGCCACGCCCACAAATCGCCATTAACCGAAGGCATATAAAGTGTCATAACGAAACACTAAATTAAGATATAAAACTATAATTTGGCACAGGGGACTGCAGCAGCAAGGGTCACCTGTGAGCAAACATTTTTTAAAAAGTGGAGGTGGCCCTGTCCTCTAATAAGCCCAATGCCAATATCTCCTAGACTACTTAAGCTACAACAACCAAATTTGCTGAGGGCAAACATTATAAGCAATCTTACCCACGATAATAGCGCTTACTGTCATATAGCGGTACTGTTAGAAACTACTAAAATCGCAATAAATTACTAACTAATTCTCCAGAGACATTAAATGACACCACACACTTTTTAATGAAATAACATACATCGTGTCCCGATCAAAACGATTTCGACTAAATTCAGCACGTTTCATTCTTCTCATATTCCTATGTCACAGTGTGAAAATGGGAGAAATCGGACTACAACCGGCCTACTTCCCATAAAACAAATTTTAAATACGACTTGATTCGATCATTTTCCAGTGCATAAATCCAAAAGTAATAATATAACGAGATATAATTTTACACTAATAATTCCTTTAAGGTGTGCCACCTTATGAATAACAAGTAAGGAAGGGCTAAGTTCGGGTGTCACCGAACATTTTATACTCTCGCATGATAAAGTGATAATCGAGATTTCAGGCGTGGTTGTGAACC